AAAAAAATATTTCAAAGGCCTTATTAAACAACTCAAGATACAGGAAAAGTTATTTGGTTCCCTTTAAATTTATTTATTCTTACTATTCTTCCAGTATGTACACTGCTCAAATTTTTTTTTAAAGGAACACTTTTTAATCTGAGTATAGCATCAAGTCTGCTAAACGTCTGGGATATTGATCAGGTCAGTTAAGTAACAGAGGGCGTTGTTAACCAGTTTCAGCTGCTTTGGTGTTAATGAAATTAAAAGGAGGAGCACTAGAGGGTTTTTTTCCACCTTTTGAATTTGTCACCACTGACAGGATGAGGTGATACCTGGAGAGACTGCCCAGTCCAGCTCCTCCAGGATCGCAAAGGGCTCACTATGTCTCCCAGCACAGTCTCAAGAGCATGAAGGAGATTTCAGAAGACAGGCAGTTACTATAGGAGAGCTGAACAGGGCTGTAGAAGATCCTTAACCAATCAGTAGGACTGGTATGTATTTTTTTGTGCAAGGAGGACCAAGATGAGCACTGCCAGAGCCCTACAAAATGACCTCCAGCAGGCCATTATTGTGAATGTCTCTGACCAAACAATCAGAAAGAGACTTTACGAGGGTGGCCTAAGGAGTCGACATCATCTAGTGTACCCTGTGTTCAGTGTCTGGCACTCTGGAGACCAGTTAGCAATTGCCATAGAATACCAGAATTGGCAGAACCACCAGTCGAGCCCTGTGTTTTTCATAGTGAAAGCAAATTCTGCCTGAACACACGTGACAGATGTGAAAGACTCTGGAGAAGTTGTAGAGAACATTATGTTTGCCTGTAGCATCATTTAGCCAGAGGAGTTGGATGGTGGGTCAGTGATAGTCTAGGGAAGTATGTCCCTGGAGAAACACACAAATGTCTACACGCTAGCATTGTCACCCTAACTGCCATTAGGTATCAAGATTAAATCCTTTTTTTCCACTTTGGTGTCTTTTGTTCTTTTTGTGCTTTGTTTTCCTCAAACGACTCATTATGCTTGTATTCATGTTCATTTTTTAATAATACAATAATTTATAATTTTAGTCTATGAAGCGCTCAAAAAGGCACTTTAATCTCTGAAGTTTTAAGATCAAGTACAAAGATTAAGTGGAGATGAATTTATCCTGAATCCACTTAGTTCTTCTAAAAAGAAAATATACATGTGAAAATCACCTCTTGGTAGTCCAGGACTTGTTTTCCCGATGTAGAAGAAGAGCAGCAAGGCAAATATTATGTTTGTTAAGGCATAAACCCATTGAATAACAAACATAATGAATATGGAGCTCAATGCCTGAAAGAAAACAAAGGATATGTTCACATTATTCCAAAAATATCAAGAAAGTCATGAGAACAAAATCAAAATATTGTACAGCAAATAATGTCTGTCATACCCCAATGAGAGCGATCCAGCGGTTACAAAACTTTGCATAGAAGGAATTGTGCTTGGGTTGGTGTTCCGCTTTACCTCCAGTGCCTGAAAGATTTAAGAAAGGGTCAAACAGGTAGGTAGCTTCTATGATACAATATATACCTTAACCTATTCTAATGTTTGATAGGTAAATCTGATCACCTGTGCTGTAATTGTGAGTCTCAGCAGGCAAATCCTGCTCAACGTGACCAACATTTGTATAGCCCGTGATTTGAGGCTCCTCTCCAGCCTTGAGCTCTCCTCCTCCACCTGGCCCCTGGTCTTCCTCTGCTAGTGAAGCAGAACTTGTCCCCTCTTCTTTCTCTTCTGAGGAAACACTGGAGTTCGAGTCCAAACCAAAGCTGTCCATTAGCTTCTGCTTAGCAGTAGCCTTTCTGTTCTTGGATGTGTTGCTCATGTCTTGCATGCAGGAGGTCTTCTCAGCTGCAGAGTCCACATTTGAAACAGGTGGAAATATCTGGTCCATGTCCCTAGTGAACTCCAGCAGAGTGCCTTTACTCTGCGGACTCCCGCCATCACTGCCATAGTTTGGAAGATTGGCTTGAATCAGTGACGTGCTGCTGTGCCTGGTGGACCTGCGCTGGTTTCTTTTGCCCAATATGGCGGTGTCCCTCTTATCTTTATTCTGAAGGTGGGAGGTCATGGCCACGCTGAAGTAGGAGTAGTCGACAAAGCTGTAGGTGAGCATGAAGTTGATGGTGACGATGGGCGCCAGTACGTTAACTTGGCCGATGAAAATGAAGGCCATCGTCACCAGGCTCGTCAGAAAGATAGCCGCCACCGGGGTCTTGTTTGGGCCTTTCTGTCAGGGAGAAAAAGGTCACACGATATTAACAATTCCTGTTACAATGTACCAAATGCACGTATTGTGTGCCTCTAACTCAACACATTTTGTGTGACAAAGAAAAATGTCTTATTCTTCCTGGGATTTTGTACATTTGCCACAGCTAACCCTTTGCCAAGTAAAATGGATGTTAGTTTTGAGCAAAGGGGGGAAAAACACCAATCCAGAGGAACAGAGACACAATGAAAATGAACATAAAGCTGAATCTGAGTTAAATAAAACCCCGATGAGTGATCTTTTCCTGCTGTTGTCCACTGAGTTTTCAAAAGTTCATGTTCAGTGTTTGATTTACCAACAAGTAACAATCAGATGATTACTTATTCATGTTGCTGACAAATGTAAGCTTTATAGCTTGAAAAATGTGGATCATATTGAGTAAATAAAAAAAAAAATCCATTACACAAAATCTTCCTATGACTTCATCTGGACTTCTTCTGGCCAGTCTGACATGAGGTAGCTGTGACGCCCATGAGAAAGCTATTTCGACTTTTAGAAAGGTTCTGGTGCTATTTTTCCATGAGTATGCCTACATTACATTTAATTAAATCAAACGCACACAGCATAAATAAAGAATATGTTTGTGTTTACAACTTAAATAGTGTTCAGCATTCACAGTTAAATGAATGGAATAAAACAATGCCCCCAACAATAATCACTTTTCTCAAAATGGAAAAATGGCTTTAACATGTGGTTTGTTAACTAGTTTGCTTTTATTTCCCAGGTCCTATCTCACTGTTTAAGGAGCACTGCTGTGTGCTGGAGGGCCTCCAGAGCATACAGCGGAGCAGGGCCCTGCCCGTCTCCCTTCCTGCGTTTGTTCTGGGGCTTTGATTTGGGCCAAGATGTCTAGGGCCTCATTCCAGCCTGCTGAGAGAGGTCAGATACTGCTGCCATCCAGAGAAGTCTGAGGAAAACTGGGGTGGAAGAGGTCAGGTTGTTAACGTGACTATGTGTGCATGTGTTTTGCAGCAATGTGTCGTAACTCTTTGATGCAATAAAGTCAGTCCACTCACTTCTGTGGAGTGCTTGCTCTATAATTAGGCAGACCTGTGACCGTGTCCTTCTGAATCCATACACCACAGCCCCCTTTAGAGCCAGACTTAGCACACTTATTCATTTACAATGTATGCGTGTGTTACTTTGGGCAATCAGAGAAACCAACTTCAATCCCAAACTCTATACAACTTGTATTTGATCCACAGAATAATACAGTAAGCATGCAGTTACA